GCGTCTGGCGCTGGATCCGGCGCTGGAGGGCTCGTCGGGCAACTACTACTCCGACTGCATGCGCTTCCCACTCGTGCCCTGGGCTCGGGATATGGACACCGCCGACTGGCTGTGGCGCGAGAGCGAGAAACTCGTCGGCCTGCCGCCCCTCCAGAGCGACTCCAGCAATCAAAATGGCCACAACGGCAATGGAGTGCGTCCAGCTGCTGCTACGGCCGCTCCAGCTGCAGCTTCGTCTACAGCTCCGGGTGACTCAGTGGAGACTGTTGTAGTGGATCGGCCATCCAGTTAAAAGAGTGGAGTGCTTCAACTGTCATCAACGGTCCAGTGCATCCATCTCTGAAATCCAGTTAACATCTTTCTTTGTTTTTGTTTTTTTTTTCTCTCTCTCTCTCTTTTTCTTGAAGAACCTAGTCAATTGGAGATTAAAATAATCATTGACTAGGTCTATATATGGCTATTATAACACTTAAATATATTTAATGTACCCATACGAATACATACATACATACATACATGTGTCCAGTAATTGAACTCTTTTTGTGTGTCAAAATAAACGTAAAATTAAGAACAACAAAAAAAGACAAAGTGGGCGAAAACAGAAGCAAATTTATTGAAATCGCCGCCGTTTCAGCAGCAGCTGCTACGGCCGCGGCGACTTTTTCTTCTTCTTCTTCGTTGTCTGTCGCTCGCGTTCGTTCACATGCCATTAACAGAAACAAAAGCAAAAAGCAAAAAAGCAAAAAAGCAAAAGCAAAAACAAACAAAAAAAAACGAAAATCGCAAGCAACAGCATCGAGAGTGCAATTAAACCCATGCAATGCCCGGGGGGTCGTTTTGGTCCGCCACTTTTATTTTGGGATTATCGTATCATCGTACACATGTGTGGGCTCATAAGCTGCTGGGCTTAAGCTGTGGCTGCTGCTGTGGGTCTCTGGTCAGCAATTAGACACGCCTAATGGAGACTTTGTGCAGTTTATGGCTGTTATCAGAGCGGCACAAATAGCGCTAATGCGCTGTGATTTCGACTGGTCTAAGGGCCTGGAATAGTTTTACATTTTTACAAATGAATATACTAACTAAAATGCTTAACTTGTTACATATTGCAAATATTGTTTTGCTTCAAGCTGTGCAATGTTCTTGCTAAGCGAGCCACATAAGGGTTAAGCCAGAACAAAACAAAAACTGAACGAACTGCGAACAATTACACAAAAAAAATTGCATGGAAAATTCCATTCGATGTGTGTGCGTGTGTGTGTGTGTGTGTGTGTGTGTGTGTGTGTTCGTGTATGCCTTTGGGCTGCGAGCGCCCCTTCAATTACACACACACGCACAACCAACTCAGAACCCTTATTGTAAATGTATCCAGCATTGAATTAATTTTGTATCTATGAGGTTTTGGCATAAGGAAAGTCCTATTGATACAGATGAATATACATATGTATGTATGTATGTAAATATATGTACATATACATATGTATTTATGTACATAGATGCATACATAAATACATACATATGTATGATGTGTGGACATTTCTTAAATTTACATACACATACATACATATGTACATACATATGTACATATGTAATACATATGCACATTTCTTTCATGCATGTTTATGTACATATGTATGTATGTATTTGTGTACATACACATGAATGCATACACACGTATGCACTTTTACGATCTGGGCACGCATTGCCCCAAAAAAAAAAAAAAAAAAAAAAAAAAAAAACAAAAGCAAACCAAAGCTCAACAGCAACAACAAAAACTCTGCGTAGCCAAAATGCATATGCAAATCATAACGAAAGTTTCTTAAGCGCCCATCTGGCAACGCCCTACTAATTATGCCAAGCCCAGCAAACATGCCATATATATAAATAACGGCCCATACTTACATATACGCACATAGCTAAAAAAAAAAATCATACAGCAACTTTCCATACATACATACATATGTATGTAAGTTTGGACGAGAAAATTCGATTTTTTTTTTGTTCTTCCACCAGACGACATGTTGCAATTTGATACGGAATATGCCATTTTCGCACGTACCACTCCACCGAGGGCCAACCACATACATACATACATATGTATGTACGCAGGTTCATATGTTCGTAGAATTAATTTGATGCTTTTAAGGGAGACTTAATATGTATGCTAATTATTTACATACATACATATGTATATTTATGTATACGTGTGTACGTACGTATGTACATATGTGTGCATATACATACATACATATGTAGGAATGTGTGTACGCTTAAGAAAAGGCAAACACATCGAGTAACGGGAACAGCTGCTCTAGTTTTTAGTCATCTTCGCCTTTACGTACATACATACATACAGATGTAAATACGTATGTCTGTATTTCGTAATGCCACCAACAAACAAACTAATGATGAGTGTCTATACTCAAGCCAGCACAGAAATAGTTTATGGCAAAATAAATATTGCATTTTATGATGCAATTGCCAATCGAAAGATAACAACAAAGTCGATTAGAAATGAAACAAAACGGGAAGAAAGATTAAAAACGCTGACGCCCTACCGCAACCAATTCGAATGAATATACGCTTGTATGTACATACATACATATGTACATATGTATGTCTATAATGCATGTCCAGATAGATATACATACATACATATACATATGTATGTGTGTTTGCATGCATTGTGTTTATAGCGCCTATTTGCATTTTGAAACTGCAAACGTGACTGAATTAGCGCGTTCTCATTCTGAATCATCTCCTCCTCTGCCTTCTGCCTTCCCTCTCTGTCCATCTCTCTCACTATCGCTCTCAAGATATGCAGCGCATATAAAAACTTTTGCCACTTTATTGTATGCAATATATATTTTGCATTTTATATTTCTTTATATTTATAGCCAAAAATTGTATTGCATATGTATGTATGTATGTATGTATATTATAAGCAAGCGGATTGTTCTGTTTATATAGCAAAAGCAGCTCATGCCCAAATTAAATGGAAAATTCGATGTTTTTCATTCCTTCCTTTTTTCCTTCCTTTTTTTTTATATAGTTAAGTTTTACTTTTTATATGTTGTTAGTTAGTCTCTCTATATTATTTCTTTTTAAACTTTACTTAATGTTAAACAAAATTGATGTCTATATACAAAAAATATGTAAATCGTATTGTTTATAGGGCAAAAGCGGTTCATACTCTATTCAAATGAAATACTCGATCTTTTCATTTCTTAACTTATTATAATTGATAAACTTTTATAAGAAACTTAACAAACTTAATAAACTTAAAGCTCTCTCTCTCTCTCGCTTTCTATCTTAAAGAGCGTCCACTATTGACTCGCCCTGCCCTTACAAAGTTCGCTTAACTGTTTTTATTTTTTCTTTCTTCTTTTATTGTAATATTATTTGCCATTTGCCAGCTCAGAAAACAATTTGCAATTATGAATTGGTAACACTTGGTGCTGCCCCCTATTAGGTTTGCTTAACTTCGGTTGGGTATTTGTGCTGGCACCTGAGGGTATCTGGATGTGCGCAGTTCGACTGTTTTCCACCTGCTTCCTCTGCTGCCACTTCCCCTTCATTCTCATGCTCTCTCATCTCTTATCTCCAAAGTCTGCAACGTGCAAAAAGCTGCAAATGACGTTTTGCGATTCCAAGCTAATTAAGTAACCGTTTTTTTTTTTTTTTTTTTTTTTTTGCATTTTTATATTCAAGCAGATATGTACATATATATATTTATATGTTTGTATGTACATATGTAAATGCAAAAACTTATCGTTGGGGCAGTGGAAAATTTTTTAATGGGGCTTAAAATGAAGGTTCGCATTCAGCTGTAAAAATCGGCAAAACATAATGGAAATATTTCTTATGTAATGTGTGTGTAAAAAAAAAAAAAATGAAAATTACAATGAAAGATTCGAGCTTATTGAAAAATCCAGGCATGTTGAGATCGGATTGATTTTAGTGACATCCATTTACGAATTACATACATACATATACATATGTTGGCATCTTAGTTCATTTGTGTTTGTTTATTTTATTATTTGACAATTACATATTAATACGTCTATTTAACAAAATTTTCAAAATTCGTGTGCTTCTTTTTTTTTTTTTTTGGTTTTCTAAATTGTGCGCATTAGCCGAATCGAGGATGTCAAAGCGTCTGCAAAATATTCGCACCGTAAGTGCACTAAAACTATATATAAATTTGCATTTATAAATATGTGCATATATGTACATATGTATGCATATATATCTCTGTGTACATATTTGATTTGTATTACTTATAAATAGTGGCAAGCGTTTATAGTTTAATTCATTTTGCAATTGGCGCAGAAATGCGCTTAACTTCGAATTGCTTGGCAACGTGACAAAAATGTGTTTAATCATAAATGAACATACATACATAAATACATACATACAACAAGCAAGTGCATACACACATACACATAGACACACACGTGTATCCGCAAACATTCATACATATGTACATACATTATAAATGGTACATATTATAAACAATAGACGTACATATGTATGTATTTATTCTGTTTGCAATTGTTTATTTCTTGCGAAACACCGATTAAGTGTACAAGTTTAAGGCACATGTTTCAAATTTAATTTGTACATGCCAAAAAAAAAAATCCTTTTGCTTCACAAACAATGTGCAGAGGAGGAGCCCTGTCGCAGCTGTATTTCAAAAGGTGGCGCCGTGGTCTTGACAACAGTTGTGATACCGCTGCGCATAGCGAACGCTTGACAGTCCACAGCGCTGCCACCTTTTGAAGTGTGCATACGTAAGGAAATTATCGAAATACGCTCAGACGCCTTAAAGACAATTATTGTAAAAAGAATAATTTGGTCAGCCTTGAATTACTCGCAAAATGTTATATTATTGTTTTACAATTGAATGGGTGGCATTTATTACACTTCCGTCACGTAAGATGTCTTACGTAAGATCAAATGTCGCACGTAAGACCGCAATGCGTAGCGTATGCATGAAATCAGTGTTACAGTCAACTTAACGTCGTGGCGATATATACCAAAAACAACGAAACATTCGAGCCAGTGTGACCATTGTTAGACGATGTTGCCACAATCGACGAAAATTGTGATATTGAAGTGGAAGAATTAAACTTGGTGGCAAGAAAGTCGCGAAAGAGTGTTGACTATTGTAAGAAAAAAGTATAATTTGAACGCGCCAAAAGTAATTTACCAACTAGCGAATTGTTTACAAATATTTTGCAGTACCCGGAGACCGCAATTCATGCGAAAAAAATTTCCTGCAAAACGCAACTTACAACTGTCACACGCACACTAATAAAAAGGAAAAAAGAAAAAAATTTGGTGTGCTGGAGGAGAGGTACGCCACGCCGCGCCGCATTGAGAAAACAACAAATTGTGTTTGTTGCAACGAAGTCGGAGCGACGATTAACTTTAATTAACTAAATACACAGAAATATATAATTTTATCCAAGCATATTGTATATATATAAGTATATACATATATACACAGCGATATGAACTCGAAGCGTATTAAATACACTACGCTGTCCAGCCCGACAGATGCACCGTCCAAGGAGGAAATTGTGCCAGTTATCATACAACATGAAACTGACGACGTAGATGGCAATGGAGAGACAACACAGTATACATATGCCTATACGACTACTGAGGATGACGACACTGAAACGGCTGTGGTGACTCTTAGCGATCGTGATCACGAGGCGCTGGCCAATGCCCAGGAGGTGATCATCGATGAGAACGGGCATGCCGTCACCTTGCAGCAGCTGGTGGAGAACAGCACCGTAGAGGAGGTGGAGACTATTGAGCAGGGCGATGGCACCCACACCATATTGCACATTGTGCCCAATATAGGCGACGAAGAGGAAGATGACGAAGATGAGGATGGGGAGGCCATCGAGCACGATGAGGACGAGATTGTGGGCGTGGAGCATGAAGAGGGCGATGAGCAGGACGAGGAGGAGGATGAAATGGGCTCGATTGTGTTTGAGGGCACCATCGATCACAGTCCTGAATCCGATTCGCAGTCACGCAATAAGACTTTCTATTGTCCCAATTGTGGCAATTGCTACAGTGCCGCCGGCTCTTTGAAGCTACACATGCGCGCCTGTTTGCGCCAGCGCAACGAGGTCTCTGCCGAGGACCGCAAGTGCAAGGTGTGCAGCAAGATCTTCAACTCGGTGGCTTACCTCAAGGAGCACATGATGCGTCACACTGGCGAACAGCCACATCGCTGCACCCGCTGCTATCGCAAGTTCGTCGACGAGGCCAAATACAATGCGCACATGGACTCGCACAAGCACCAGGACAAGCTGGAGGCCGAGGCGGAGGCATTGGCCGCTCAGCACGGCGGCAAGAAGGTGGTCGTCAAGGAGTTTACCTGCTCCTTCTGTTCACAGAACTTTACCGTCGTGTTCGATGTGGGCCAGGTGAAGCGCCGCTATGCCTGCGACGCTTGTCGCGACAAATACTCAAATGCCGAGGCATTGCGCCAGCACAAGCAGCAGGTGGAGGAGAAGCGTGAGTTCAGTTGCGAGCGTTGCGGCCGCAAGTTCGTCTTTGAGGGCTTCCTCCAGCGTCATCTGCCCACCTGCGATGGCAGCATCAAGCGTCGCCGCGACATGAAGTAGAGGTGGCAGCAACGTGATGGCAGTTGGCGGCGTCGGCGCAAAAGATCTGATAGAGCACTCGAATGTGATTTTGTGGAGGAACAGGAGGAGCAGGTGGACGAAGATGAGCTGCAGCAGGAACATGTGCTAATATCACCGCCAATGCGTTACGTTGTAATTAAACAGGAGGACCTTGAAGAGCTGGAGGAAAGTGTTGAAGATCAGTAGGAACAGCAGCAGCCCTAGAGGCTGGCCAATGAAATTGAAATCTTTTATCATGCACACCAATAGACAACACACACACACACAATTTCTTTCTTTAACACTTCGACGGAAGGAGGAGTTATAGTTAAATACTAGCTTATAGGCAGTCTAATGCGTCTCCAGCTGGCAATTGAACACGCACACCTTTACACACACACACGCACACCTTTCCAAACACACACACACCTTTCCAAACACACACACACACCTTTCCAAACACACACACACCTTTCCAAACACACACACCCACGCATACCTTTACACAGACGTATACCTCACATACATATACCTTTGCATACACACACACATGCACACATACTATTTTCATTCTTGAAATACCTTTACACAGACGCATACCTTACATACATATACCTTTACATACACACACACACACACATACTATTTTCATTCTTGGCTAGCTGGGGCCAAAATACACATATAAATAAATATATGCATAAACACCTATATAGATACGTCGACGAGCAGTAAAATCTAACTTTATATATAATTATATATATATAAACATATTTTTTTTAAACTATGTAATAATATTTATAAGAATTTGTTACGGAGGGAGTGTCGAGGCATATTAGCTATATATAGACAGCATGACTACGTTCCATGTTTTTACGTTCTCTATATGGATCTTCACTGATTAAACAACTCCATAGAGAATCTGCTAAAAAAAAAAAAAAAAAAAAAAAAAAAAAAAAAAAAAACAAACACGAAAAAACGTAAACAAAAAAGAAAGAGATAACACGAAACACAAAGCAACAAACAATCTTCTAATATATCCTTGCAGACTTTGTAATATTTTTCATTTTATATACATACATATAAACAAAATCACACGAAAATATCATTGAGTCATAATGTAAAGCAACTGTCTATCCGATTCGATAATTCCGCTCATGTGTCTTAGTATCGTAATACTATATCACAATATATAGCATCGTAAGATATTGTTTCTGTGAACAATTTGTTTTTTGATTAACATCGAACGAAAATTCATGCAAAACTGCTTCACTTCAAGGATATTTCAAGAAAAATAACATCATAGAGAGCCCAACGATCATATATATATATATATTATATATATACATATATATCGTTTCTTAATCGAAAAAGTAGAGCTTGCAAATTTAAACTCTAAGAAAACTTTTGAAATGGGTGTACAACATATTGTGTAAATGTAACTGAAATAAATATGTGTATATATCTCAATATATATATATATTCCGGAAACAGAATAAATAGCAGACTAAATTCATATACAGCATTTCAATTTCTAAAAGATCAAAAAGACTTGACTCAGAATTATTGTACATTAACCAATGCAGAGCGCATTCGGTGTATTATTGATTTCAGACGTGCGCTGAGGCGCCGCAGCTACAAACAAAATTGTTGTTTTTTTTTTAATATAATGTGCATTAACTAATTTAAACTGACGACAGGAGGTAGGAGCGGCAGCAGCAGTAGCTGCTACTCCCAGTCTCCTGCTCCTCCTCCTCTTCCACATTCGCTTACGACCAGAGCTTCAGATGGGCACGTTTAGCATAAGATTTCCAATCAGAATGGGCATAGAACTCCTTGAATATGGGCGTGACTAGTGTGTCCTCTGGCAGTGTCTTGAACACGGGCTCACCATACCAGGTGCCCACCTGCCAAAAACAAAAGAGAATCAAATTTTAGTTGCCATCATTTTGGCTAGAATTCAATAGTCGCAATTTACCTCCCAGCCGGGCACGTTCTTCATGAGTTCAGCCTCCTCGTCGCGATTGCGACGCAGCTGACGCAGAAATTCACGATCGCGCTCCGCAATCAATATTGGGAAAATGACATTCTGAGCCGAGCGCATTTCGATTTCGTCGCGCTTGACTTTTTTGGCTGTCAAATAATAGATGCCCAGACCCACTGTGGTGACGGCCACATAGGCTCCAATCATGGTAAAGCCTGCAAAAGTATAAATATAGATGTCTACGTATGCATAAATCTTAGATTGAACTCACCAGTGAAATAGCTCTTGGGTGGCACGCGAGCAAAGGGAATCTTCTTGTATCCACCGGGTGGTGGAAGGTCCTGTTTTGGGGGCACATGCGGCACGGCCGTCGCCATGTTGGCTGCTGCAATGTACATGGATGCGTTCTGATAACATTTTCCCTCTATGAGTGCATATCTATTTCGACTTACGCTTTAGTAATTTGTTAATAAAATAGGAAATCTGCCAGTCAAAATTTCACGACGCCTTTTGCATAACATGCAGCGTAATGTGACCACAGCTGATTGCTATTAAAATACCAAAACAAAAAATTACCAAATACACCACTGAATGTATTGATATAAAGGAATTCTCAAATTTGCCAAATGGCCAAGTAGTACAATAACATGTATTTGTGCATTAATTATTACCAATTTCCTAGTTTGAACGTATAATTCACTATAAAATGTCAAAGCACTAAATACTGAAACAATAATTAAAAGTGCTGGCATCTCTGACAGCTGTCAGTTTCATTTCAACTTGAGCCACAAAAATATTATACATTTATTTTAATTTCAAATTTGTGTGATTATAAAATAAAAATAGTGTTGTTATAAATATGGCATATTTGCGTAAACTGCTTACATTCCAAAAGTGCTCATTATTCCTGCACCAGCATCGCTTCATTAAGAAGTCTATTTTTCCCCCAACGCCTCAATGCGCTCAACTTGGACTTGAACAGGAAGCGTTTGATGTTCTACCTGTACAAAATGAGGTAGGCAAATAAATCTTGACGTAGAAGAATAATTGGTAAAGAAAAAATAAACAATTTAAACATTGCGCGGGCACCAAGAAATACGCAAATTATATCAGCTGTGTTTTGTGTTGGTGGCTCAGCATTTCATTGGTATTGCATTTATCGATAATACAAATATCATGCTTGTTCAACGAAATAAACAAATAATTCTTATAAATGTAATGATCCTCACATATTGTGTTAGTACGCATTACAATATAGTATACATATAATCTTAATACATCAATTAGCTTATCTCTTATGACGATCTGCACGAGCAATAAAAATTATCGATATTGGACACAACAACAACGACTACAATCGACTGTATGCAATTGAAAGCCAACCAACCATTCGAATTCGAATAATATTTTAACATTCAGTTGCCGCGCAGCTGCCGTATAGGAAGGGAGAGTAGGAAACTTTTTTCGCTCGCCGTATAAACGCTACAAGAAAAAGAACATTTCCAAATTCTTCACTGGGGGAAAGCAATTTTTTTCTGTGTTTGTGCGTGTTAGTGTTTAAAAAAGAACACAGCGTTTGAGTCAACTTCTCAAATTAAGTAAGCAGCCAAATTAGAATCAATCATGTCGATCGTTCGCATTTCTGCACGTAAACTTGTCGACGCACAGGTGAGTTTTTCACAACCCTGACCCACCCACGACCCAATCTTACGCCTTGACCATGTTATAACTGTAACTGTGAAATGCCAAACGATTCGCACGCTTCGCTGTTGTGGCGGTAGCCAAAGGATCCTCACACTCCAAGCGTGGCTTGCCAGCAACGCCGCACGCATACATCCACACACACATATATATACAACACGTTCTCTAAGTACGCGCTTGTTCGGCTCTGTGTAAGTGTGTGTGTGTGTCCACGCGTTGTTGTTGGCAAAAGAAGCGACACGCCAAAAATTCAGCCATGTGCTTGTGATTATAAAAAAAATATATATATATAACAAAAAAACTATTCGGCGGAAAAAATGATTGTTGATCGCATTTGGTTGACTCGCAAAGCTTCTAATCTAGCGGGCCACAGTAAAATATATTAGCAGTTGTAAATTTAGTTCAGCATAGCCAAGTATTTTTGCTATGTGCTAATTTTCCGGCAGTAGTGATTACATAACCGAGCAGAATTTTCACTTGGCTAAAATAGCGAAGCGCGAATCTTCTTTATAAATAAAACTCTCACCAAACGCAGACGCAGTCGCAGTCTCAGCGAACAGCGCATTCTGAGTTTAATGAACTTCTTCATCTGATGGTGCCCGGTTTACCAGGGGCATCGTTGCCCGTTGTGTCACTCATGTATTAAGCCTTATTTTTGTCGTTGTATAATTTCCATAAACGTGTCTCTTTCGTTTTCGAATTTGGCTTAAAACCACGCGGCGTCTCTGGCCTTCGTCTTGTAATGTTACAGCAACAAAAATAACAGCGACAGCAACGACGCTCTCTCAAAGAGCGGCTCTCATCAGCAGCTGCACAGGCAGTGTTGTCAGATTTTCAAAAGCTAAATCTACAAATCAATTTGCTGAAAACAGCTAGAAAAAGCTATTTGTAACGAAATAACTGAAGCTTCATATTAGAATATTGATTTATGAGAAAGAGAAACTAGTATATCATGTGTTTAATTATTATTATTTTTTTTTTATTGATTTGAAGCATAACTAGTTTATTTAGATAAAAATATATTGTATATTTAGATACTTTATATAATCTTTTTGTAAAAGACGACATTACTATTATTAGCAATGACAGAGCATTATTTGTTTGTAATTATTACTATATTTCGAATGCTGAAACTGTTTAGTCTTACGTCAACAAGCTTCCTATATCAGAATATTTTGGCTATTTAATAGCTAGAAACTGCCCCTGGCGACAACACTGCGTACAGGTAGCTGCTCATTTTATATTTCGCTCGCGCTGTTGCTATGTCTCTCTTTAGTTCCAAAGCGCGTCACGTGTTGTTGTTGTTGTTGTTGTTACTGCTGCTGCTGCCGATGTTGTTGCTTGATTTCTTTTGCATAGGAGATGCGTTGTTTCTGTTGCCAAATGACTTTTTGTCTGCATTTTCCGTTATTGTGTTGCGCCAAAAAGATTGTCCGCCGAATGACCTTTAAACAAAGAGCGTAACCATCCGCCCATCTCCGAAAACTGCAAAAGAACATGAGCAAAATAATAAAATTAATCGCCACGTATGTGCACTACAATCGTATATACGCACACACACATGTATATACACGTACGTACGTACTGTGAGTATGTGCGGGTTATGTAATGTCGAAAAATCAGTACACAAAACTTGGCAAAAGTTTTTTTGTCTTTTTTGTAACTGAAAAATCAATACACGGCCCCTGGCACGCCCACAAACCGACAGCCACAAACACACACATACCCACACAATAGGCTAAAAGGACGAGCCTCCTTTGCAGCTTTATTGTTGGTGCTTTGCTTTGGGGTGTTTTCGATGTTGGGTAGAGTGCGTGCAAGAGAGAGAGAGAGAGAGAGAGAAAGAGGAAGAGACAGAACGCGAGCGAGCAAGAGAGCGGGTGGCAGTGAGATAATGAGCGATTGAATGTGACGCAAACAAGAATTCGATGCGTAATACGTAAAAAGTTAAATAATCTATTTTGCGCTTTCTAAATGTTATGTATGCGCCCAGTTCTTTTGCTATGAGATTTGCCGCTTTTTCGCGTTGTGAAATTGGCGTGGCGCCAAAAAACGCGCACCAACTGCAAACGTCCTTCACACTGCTGTGGCTGTTGCTCAATTTGTTGTTGTAGTTACTATAAATACATAAGTATGTAAATAGGTAAACGATTCTTAGGGCGAGAGCTATTTGCATTGTCCTCTTCCGGTTAAAAATTTGAAGTGAAATACTTTCGATTTGCAAAATTCAAACTAAATATACATATTTTTCTGTTGTTCAAAAACAACACAACGACGACTACAACATGACACGCAAGGCCTTTTAGCTGCCGCAGCAGCAGCAGCAAAAGCGGCAACATTTGACGTCCGGCCAACTTAATAACAAACACGCGAAATTTTTTATCGCCCAGACGCTAATACGTCACGATACGCGGCCAGCGCTTACGTAAAAGTTTGTCGTTTAGCGTAGCGTTTCTGCCCTTTTGGCAAGTGCCTTATGTGCGTGTGTCAATGTGAGTGTAAATATGTGTGTATGCATGTGCTTGTGCGGGTGGCAAGCAAAGGTTGAGCTTTCTGCTCTGAACAGCTGATCCCACGATTGCATAATAAGAATGTCATTCATTTGTACCCAATTTGAATTGGCATTCGAACTCAAATTCGAATTCGAAATCAAGTTCACATACATAGTATGCAAAAAAAAAAAACAAAAGGGAATTCAAATTTCCCAAACTGCTGAGGTCCCAAGCGGATGAGGCACAAAATATCATTCGTATTATGCACTGTGCTCTGTAGATTTGCACATTTCACTGTGTACAGAAATTAAATTGTTTGATTTATGGTCGTCGTCGTCTAATCTTTCAATGCCCGTGCCAATCCAATCTCAAGTGGCTTCAATTTTTGGAGAGGCATACGGCCCACCTGCACTTTTTCTATTTATTTTTTCTTCATTCATTTTGCGGTTTCAAAGTTGCAAAAATTCCCGAGATATTTTAAGTTTTATGCTCGGGCTTCAGCAGATAACAATGTGTGGCGTCGTGGAAAGTTTATACGGTAATCAAATTGTTGGCAGTGATAACTGTGATAGGGAGAAACACGTCAAGATTTTTTGGTCATGTGATGTAATCTGTCGTAGTAGGGGGGCGGGGCTGGGCGGATCGGTGCGAGACACTGAAATTGCACTCTCATTTTGGTATTGCATTGCGTTATATTTACATTTACAATCATTCCGCGAATGCCACTAATGCTGCCCCATCCCATGGAGCTTAACTGATAAGCATGACAAATTTGTGTGGGGGCACATGATCGAGATCGAAATCGGAACACACGCAACCAACAGAAATAATGCGATCGATGTTCGTGAGCTGATTGTAAAAATAATATATAAGTATACAAACATACAGGCGCCTAATAGAATGGCAAGGGAAAACAAAAGCAAAAAAACGGAAAACGTTGAACGGTGAACGAAAAAGTGTTAATTTGATTAGGTTCAACGATAAATGAATTTATACGGCATAATATTTATAGAGTGCAATGCGATACCCCCCATAACAGTGGGCTCACATATTTGCATAGCTTTCGGCTTACTAATGAGAGACTCAATGGGAACAATTGCAAATATCTAATCAGAGCTAGAGGAAGATACTTGACTCCATCAATCAGTGTAGCTCTAATTAGAGCTTTGCTCTTTTGATTGATGATGACTTAAGGTTGATAATCAAGCTCTGATATCTATATGGATGTTTGTCAAGAGAGCGTGTAAAGTGAAACATTAAAAACATACATATATAGATATATATGTATATATATATACATATATATATATTTACAACTTGTTGCTCATGTTGACATCAATTGTTAACATTGACAGAAAAGTTTACGGAACGTAGTTCCCCTTCCACCATCTGGTAATTGTGCTCTGCGACTAATGCTGACTCAGTATGTTCTCCCGCTCATCAGAGTTTCTGATTAACGCGCATGTAATCAACACAGACAGAAATCCCAGCGAACCGATCTGAACCGAACGTCTGGTTACGTCATGCACTCTGCTCCGTAACGTTGCTAACTGTTTACTTTCGGAACGAATATGTTTTTTTTTTTCTTTTATTTTTCATTTGTATTTTTGTTGTTTTGTTCGCGATAATAAAGAGGAAATGCAAATAGCAGTAGACACAAGACCTTAATTATAGCGATTAGGCTCCGAACCGTAAGATAATATTGTAAATAGTAGAATAAAAGAAAGAAGAGATGAACTTGAAAACGTAACTTTTATCGGTTAGCTAGTATTAGTCAATTACGGAATTGGGCAATTGAAATCGTCACGCGAATGAGAAACGATAGCGAAAATCCACGGAAACCAGATAGGGAGAGGGAGCAAGCGGCAGAATGAGAGAGAGAAAGAGAGAGAGAGAGGGAGAGAGAGAGAAAGAGAGAGAGAGAGAGAGGAAGAGGGAAAGCATAGAGCGAATCTCCTCTTGCCTGAATAGTTTGAAGAGAAGAGGCAATTTATTAGGCGTGCTGTTAGCATGGTTAAACCATTTAACGCCAAGTCACGGTCACTTGACTCGAACTGCAAGTTGCATTTGTGCCAACTCGCTTATCTGGCTTGCCTTGATGCCAAAATGAGTCGAGATGCCGTTAGTATTTGGTATTATGGCGATGCGAGAGAGCGGCTCACATAGAATTGTAAATTGTGAAGGTTGCGCGCGTCAAACGTTTGACTCTGATGATGATTGTAAAAAATTATTATTAAAAAAAAAAAAAAAAAAAAAAACGTTCGTATTGTTTATGGATCTGTCTGTATTTAATTAAGCTGTCGTCGTAATTGCAGCGTAGATTAATTAATAAGAACAGAAATAATATTAACAAAGTGCTATCCGAGGAAACGAACGCTCGCTTATGCAATACATTGTCGCCGATTGCGGGGATCAGCAGACCTCTAATCTCTAAGCTGGGGCCGACAAGAAAGCTAACACGCGACCAAGATTTCCTTGCTGACCATTTGACCATATATGTACAAACAGCATATAAAATATATAGTCGATGTATGGAATCTATAGAGAATGTGAGCGATAAAGTTAAACGCGTGCGAGACCGTTGCGGGGACCTTCAAAATTTGAAGCGCTTATCAGCAGCACTCGCGCACCCCCTGCCTGCCCCGTAGCGCCCCCTCGACCCAGAAGGCCGGCCACCGCCCGTGAAACTAATCTGATTATGTTCATGACTTTTTCACATGGGTATGCATACAACTGAAATTTGCGCAAAGAAAAACAGCAAATAGAGCAAAAGACAAAGCAAATACAATGATAGAAAAGAACGGCAACAAATAATCATGTATACATATTTATAAGAAGGTAGTGGCCCAGCGATAAGATAACAAAGCCAACAAACAAGAAATCGAATCAAACCGCTAGAGCGGGCGGGCGAGTGGTCGTGCGATTGTGCGTGCTCCAGCCCCCACACGTTATGCAACACTATTCCGCAAAAAGCAGCGCATATGTATGTATGTGTGTGACGCATCATGTGTGGCGCTTAGTAATCTCACTGTTATGCAAGCCTCTTTCGCGCTCTCTCTCTCTCTATCTGACGCTTTCTATTGTTCACACTTTGCTCTCGGCATTTGCGCGTGTTTGTTATTCGAACTCTTAGCGCATAATTAGCATGAGCCCGAATCAAATAGGAACCAATCTACGACAGCTCAATTAGCACCTGTTTGAATGGCAGCAGCATTCAAGTCGACAATGTTGCGGTTTGTGCACCTGGCAAAACGGCGTTTGGTTATTTGCAGCTTCAAGTGTCTCAAATTGCAATATCTGCTCGTCTAACGCCCTTTCTCACCCTTTATTAACCGTAATGAGTATTGGATTTCCATACAATGTGGTCACTCGATTATTTAACACAGCTTAATCGATTGATATCAAATTACAATTGCAGATATTAAGGATACTCGTTGGAACGTCAATTTGCAATGATTATTGTATAATCGTATATGGGCTATTTTATATACATACATATACATACATTCATTTATACAAATTAAATGCAATCACTTTGTTGCACGCAAAGGCTGAAATTGAAATTGAATGTGCATAACTTGCCTCTTGCCATTATAGTAATGGGTGACGTAGCAGTCAGCTGATTGACAGGCCATCTCATAGTATTTGATAATCAATGCAAGGCGTTCACGTAAATTATAATTCAATTTTATCAATGAAATCGCGTTTTTGGGGCCGGTCCAGCAAACCGGTTTGTGTGTGTGTGTGTGTTTGCGCACAAACAAATCAATATAATACATAAGAGAAGGCGAGCACTCACACACACACACATGCATACACTTAGCGATCGTGCATGTAGCAGGCATGCAATCCAATTTGCAAAAGTCCTCCGCTTGGCGGCGCCACAAGTTCACTTGGTTGATTAAATTTGCTGACCCACTAGCCGCAAAAAAAAAAAAAAAAGAAAACAATAAAAAAAAAAACAACAAAAATAAAAGCTGACGAGCCGATAAAGCGCAAGAAAGGAGGAGGTGCAAAGGGAAACCGCGAGCGGGAGACAGCGAACTGTGCTGTCAATCAAATAAAATTGCACTTTGCGCTTGAGCTTGGATTCCGTTTTCATTTCCATTTCGTTTTGTCTGAGCAAACGCCACGCGTGGCAACAGCAACAAATGCCGTCGACTAGGAATTTCGCTGTCATTTAAAGTGTGTCTCGCGATGGGCTGATCTGAAATACAACAAAAAAAACTATTATCAGAAACTAGTTATAACCGGAATTGAGGCTTAACTAACAGTTAAACCTGAGCTGAACTTTGCGAGTGGCGCGCTTTTGTCGAATTACATGTGTATGTATGTACATGTACATACATATATGTATGTATGTATTTCGGTTTTTGTGTTTTTGCGTATTCTTCGTAGTCAATTACACTACAACAATAACAATAACAATATCAATACCAAAAACAACAATAATAAGCAAATGCAGCCACTAGGGCAATGTCTGATCGATGCTGAGTCATGGGACTGAGAATGGACGGATTGCGGCTGATGCTATTGCTGCAATCGTCGCTTTTCTTTGCTTATCAACAGACGTGGATTGTCTCATGTGTGCATCAAAGTGTGTGTGTGTGTGTGCATACATAGGTGTGTGTTTTTGTGTCTGTTTTGTTTGGGAATTGGCGCACCTTATCAATCGCATTGATGTTCCGCG